TCATCGTTAACCTGCGAAGTGAACATCGTTTTTTCGACTTTTCTCTGCGGAATATTTAATTTAATTTGTTAAAGTTCAAGTTATTGTATTAAAAGATTTTAATAAATTTTAAATTTGTAAACCTTTTCATCACATTTTCCTTGCTTTATTCGGAAATAAGTGTTAAAGGCTTTGTGCAAATTAGTATCAATTTATTCATGGTCCTTCGAGCCATAGTGAGAGGCACTATGGAGTGAAAAACATTTAAAAAAATAAAAATTTAGTTACATATACACAGTGACCAAATACGAACCAAACAAAATAAACATAAACATACATATATAACTTATCGAAAAGGTTGAAGTGCTGACAAAATAAGTGCGGTGAAAATAACAAATACATAAATATACAGTGCAAAATTTGCTAAACATCTTAAACAAACTAACTAATACATACAAATCGAGCGCGAAAACTGAAATAAACTAAAGCATACATAAATTGAGCGCGAAACTAATGCACCATACAACAAAATCTAAACAAAACACATATTCGGGCGCGAGCAAATTTATCCACAAAATAAAAACAACAAACACGCATAAGGAGCTAGCCAGCTGGATGCCGAAGAAGACAGGCACTGGGACAAACGCACAAGCACGTAACTTGTATATACATATATACGCCCTCCAAAAGCCCTTGAGGAAACAAAGTGAGCGTATTTATTTCACTTATTATTTTATACATTAATATAAAATAGATTACCAAACTGGTATAGATCACGGTACAAATCGAAATACCGCTGACATTAAAACCAGTTTGGTACAATATACTTATATATCCAAATATATATTATGTAAACATTATTGTATGCCTATAAGCTTACCTTTGTGTTCAACACAACATCTCTCTCTTTGGAAATAAGTGTTAAAGGCTTTGTGCAAATTAGTATCAATTTATTCAACTTACACTGTCTTGCCTTCTCTAGGTTGTATATCCTTGCAATATGCAGCACATGATTTGGAATGCGCAGCGCTGCGTCATCCTGGTGGGCAATGATCATCTTTTGAAGTAGGCTAATGAGAACGCCACACTGCTGTTTAAGTATTTGGTGCGCTCCAACCTGGGCACGAAGTATGAAGCGGAGCAGTTCCGTCTGTCGGCCAATCGCGTGTGAATGGTTAATTGGTGAATTGAATTGTTATCAAAAAATGCTGTATTCAAGTCGTCAAATAGTCGAGTGATCTTTGTTATGGAGGCGAAGTAGTTGGTAGTGAATAGTATTAAATGAACATGTACTTAATATTACATATATGGGCCTCTTGCAACCCTGAAAACTATTCTTGTATTTTCTTCCTTTTTACCATTCATACATTGTAATGCTTTTTTACAAATTCAAATAAAGTCAGTTGTTATTATATCCTCGGAACTTTAGTTTATGGACCCAGGACCCATAAGACTGTAGGCGACTGCGTAAAATAAAGTTAAGTTTATTTTACGGTAAAAAGTTCAATTGAGCCTTTAAGTATAATGGCTGGTGTTATGAGGATTGAGCCGCTAAACGCAAAGAATTATGCTGTATTATTTAAAATCGATTTGTGGGAGTATGCCGACGGCACGATAGTGCGCTCCCCAGATGAAGTAAAGCTCCATTAATGGAAAATGGCTGATCAAAAGGCATCAGCGGACATCATGTTGGCGATAGCGCCATCAGAGCTGGGGCTGATTTCGGAGTGCAGCAGTGTACGTGAAGTTTGGTCGAAATTCGATATTTCATATTAAAGGTCCAGCTAGAAAAGCGACGCTACTGTCAGAAGGCGAGAATGAAAAAGGCGTCGCAATTGACGATGAGTTACTTGCAATTTTGTTGTTCTACAGTCTGCCGACGTCGCACGAGACATTTAGGTGGACAGTTGAGACGCGAGACGAATTGCCGAAGCCGGACCTAATTCGTGCAAAAATTCTCGCAGAACAAGAGTCGCAAAAATCAAAAAAGGACAAAGTGGGCAACAAGAATGTGCTTTACAACCGTACATTGATCTTGATTGATTCAGCGAGTTCAAAGGTAAAACGGGACATTTCACGAGAAATTGCAATAAAAAACCACAAAAGCAAAACACACGTGTGAGTGAAGAAGCACACAAAAAAGCGGAAGTGACATTAAATGCAGAGGAAAGGGTATTTGTAGCCCCTGTACGAAATATGAGATGGTGTTGGGACAGTGGTTGTACATTTCATGTGAGTGAAAATACAAACATTTTTGAAATATATGACAAATTAAGTTTAGTTTAAGTAAAGTGTGCACTACGGTAGACGTTCGCGGAATGCAAATAAATTTGGGTTTAGAAAACGTTTTGCATGTGGCTGACTTACTTACGAATTTCCTATCGGTTGCTTAAATTACTGACAAGGGTTATGCTGTAAAATTCCAAAAGACTGAAGCCGTGATTATGAACAGTTATGAAGTTATATTGGAAGTCGAACAAATGGGTAATTTATATTATTAAAAAACATTGAAAAATTTCGCGAAGTTGGCAAATGCAAAAAACAGTGCACGAACGCGAATTGAAAATTATGGCAAACGGTTCGGTTCACGGGTTAAAATTTAAACAAACTGAGAAATTATCATACTGTGAAATTTGTGGATTTAAAATGAAATGAAAATTAATTCATGAAGAACAGAACTTTGCAAATAGTTGAAAAACCTTCGAACCATAAAGTAATTGGCAACAAGATCGTGTTCCATTCTAAAGATGAGCATCCAAAGAAATTTCGACTGGTAGCGAAGGGTTACGCTCAACGCCCAGGGAAAAAATTTCATGAAGTTTCCTCTCCAGTTGCACGGTCAACTTCCGTACGACTTTTTACGGAGTGAAGAAAAGGAGCTTCAGGTAAAAAAGAGTCACCCGTTTAGTTTTAATTTTATCCTGCTCTTTCGCCTATGCTGGTATACACGTTTCGTGGTCTTCCAACTGTGAGGACCCTTGTACAGGTATACACGCTTCCTGCTCTATCGACTGTGAGAACCCCTGTACTAGTATACACGCATCCTGCTCATCCACTTGTAAGGACTGCAATACAAAAGTCAATAACTTTAACAGTCTCCAGTTAATATTCATTTCATACTTACATGGCGGGATATAAAATAAAAGAACGGACCAATTTTCGTGAACATAACAACCTGTATAGAAACGATAAGTATTTGTATTTTAATAATAAATATATTGCAATTACAAAAATTACCGTGCTTATTTGTTTTACAACTTAGCAATAGCTTTTACTCTATCCAATTAATTATCATTTCATACTGACATGATTGTTTTACAACTGCATTCAAGACTTGCTTTGTTGAAGCGGCAAAATTTTCCATGAAATTTCCCTTTTACCGCCGTCCATTGTAAACTTTTCTTTTTGAAAGATTGTATATTCCTCTTTTAACATGTTAGATTTCGATATGCATGAATATCGGTAGTGTTTACTCTTTCTAACTTTAGGATTACCGATTCAATTAGAAATAACAGTGAATGTACATGTGTTGAGAAACAGCTGAAGAGGTCTGATTGTATTTGTGATATTTGTTACATCCGTCTTGCAGGGCCATGTTAATCATTTGAAATTGGATCTTTTATATACACATGGCAGAAAAAGTCTGCGTCGTTCTGAGTTAACGGGATTTTATTACTGCTACTTAAGTAAGTTGAGCAGAAAAAGTGTGCGTTCACTTTAAATATCGATGGTTAGTTGTATGAAAAGTACACGTTTTTAGATCAATTTTATTTTAAATGATAAACTATAGTTAGCGCGGTTAATAACACGTCTAAAACATATATAATCACAGGAGTTATTCTTCTTGTTTTAATATGGACCAAAAGCGAAAAGATATAGGTATTGGCGAAAGAAAACTCATTGATGGATTGTGGCAAAATGGCAAAAGTTATCGAGAAATCGCGAAAACTGTTGGGTGATAGTACTCCTCAGTCCAGAGAGTAAAAAAAAATTACATGCAAACAAAATGTCATGAGTCCAAGCCACGTTCTGGACGTCCAAAAAAACTAACTGAAAGAGAAGAGCGCAATAAAACCTCTCTTGTGAGGTTTAATCCACGACTGACAGAAAGCCAAATTTCAAAAGACATAGAATTTAAATACCAAAAGAAGTTATGTTCAGATACAGTATGAAAAATTATGAAAAGAGCTGGATTTTACGGCAGAGTGGCATGTAGAAAGCCCCATATATCGAGAGTAAATCGACTTAAGAGGATCCCCTTTGCAAAAGAGCACTTAAACAAGCCTCCAGAGTTTTGGAAAAGCGTTATTTTTTCAGATGAGAGTAAGTTCTGCATCATAAAAGATCGTAAGATTGTTTGGAGGAAAAGTGGAACAGCTCTGGATAAACAAAATCTCGTACCTATGGTGAAGCATGGTGGTGGAGGTGCTATGATAAGCTGGTGTATGGCAAGTTCGGGCGTTGGAAATTTTCAGTTTATAGAGTCGATAATGAATAAATATGGTTATCTTGATATTTTAAAAATACATTTAAAAGAAAGTGCAGTTAAGTTGGGACTTGGTGAGCGATTTATTTTCCAACAAGACACTGACCCGAAGCTCACAGCAGAAATTGTGAAGCAAGGGTTGCTCTATAATATTCCAAAACAACTTCGTACACCCCCGCAATCATCTGACCTCAACCCAATGGAACACTTATGGGTCTTACTAGAGAGAAAAATTAGCCAGCCTGTTTTCACCAGCAAATAAATGCTTAAGAACGCGCTTAAAGAAGAATGGAAAGATATAAGTCCAGAAACAACAGCCAAATGAGTTGGTTCAGTGAAAAATCCCCTACTAGAAGTCATTAAATGAATGGATATCCAACTAGTTACCAATTTATTATATACGTTTTAACTTTTAGCCTTTTATTCCTTTATTGTTGAAGTAAAAGCAGACTTTTTTTGCTTGGCTTGAATGACCTTTTTATTTTTACGTGAAATTATTTTGAATTCAATTACGTTATTGGTACGTAATTTTGTAAAATAGTTACTTTTTATTCATATCTTTTTTTCCGATTTTTCATAGTACAAAGGAAATTTGCATAAGTGAATGCAGACTTTTTCTGCCATGTGTATGTACTTTATAGGATCTCCGACGTTTGTTGTTACAAAGTTCTTAGCAAAATTAACATATCTAGTCAGGGTATAATAATGAATGCGAATTATGAATGCGATGGGCAGTAATGCCAAAAAATATTATTGTGCATCAATACAAGTGCTTATATATGTGTATTTGAATGCTTTATCATCTATCTTTCTTTGAATAGCCTTAACAACCCTATTGGCGTTTCAACAGGTAAGTTCTTTTTTGATAATTATTCAAATAAAAAATATTTTAAATATTTCCGTTGATAAAACACGAATGCCTTCGGATTCGTATATACTGGGATTAGAAAATATGGAAAAGCTTTCTGAACTAGAAATTGTGCAATGAATATGTGGAAAATTGTTGCTATTGGCAAACTAACCATCAACGTTACACTGCAATAGTGGCCAGGAGAAAACTTTAGAATACCGTCCCTGGATTTTGGAGATAAAATGTATACGGGCGGATAAAGGAACCTTCAGATCAAGAATATATATAGATTTAGCCGCGGTAAACTTATAGTTTTCCAGATATTTGCGTTAAAATTTTAAAATTTCAACTATCTAACGTACGTACGTATATTTTCGATTGAAAATGAATTTTACACTTATATTTTTCACTTTTATATCTCCTTGACTTATTCGTTTGTACACATTCATTTTACATTTTATAGCGCAAAAATAGCTTTATTTCAATATTTAACTTATTGTTCAATTCTATTAATGCACACAATAACAAATGGGTTGCAAAATGACAAATAACCAGTGATACATGAGCATGAAGGCCATTTGGGGATTTATTATATAAATTAAAAAATAATTTGCTATACAAAAAACAAACTTAGGGCATTGATTAAAACAAAAGTTATTACGGTTTGTTTTTGTAGCACAATTCATCCGCCTCCCTGTTTTTGGTGACCAACTTAAATTGGACTGGATACTATTATCGGACCGTTTGCATATCTACAGGTAATACGGCACGAAAGTAAGAGTGCGTTCGAGCTACGTAATAATTGCAGCAGTATAGCAACTGTGTTGCATATTTGCTGATACTCTGCCATTATGATGCTGTTGCAAGTGTTGGCAGAAATTCACGCAGAACGTGATACTTTGACAAATTTGCAACACTGCTGTCGTAATTGCCATCTCGAACGCACCCTTAGTCTCTGTTTATGCATAAAGAATTGATGGAACGAACTTGTAGCTAGCTCGGAGATACTACAAAAACCGATATTTTAGTATCTTCTGACTGGTATTAGAATTGTGTTTGCATTTAAAATCTTATCTAGTGTCATATGTGTTTTGTATGTTACTTATCTTTGCCACTTTCTAACTCGCTTATCAATTTCGTTCATTACTTAAAAACTTATGTATACATACATACGTGAATAAATATTTGTATATGTATACTTATACTTAATGGCTTCGTTTTCTATGTATTTTTTATTTCACTATCGTCCTCAACAGTATTCCTAACATTATCTCAATACACAAGGGTGAAATGCAAAAACGCAAAGAATGCGAACGTTTAATCTTTAAACAAAAAATGAGTAACGGTCAAATGACCGATGTGAATCTTCGCACCGATGTTATTTCTTATGCTGTAAGTCCCATTTTAAGGAAGAACGTGATACACATATGAAACAGGTACTTAAATCAATAACCACATAGTCGAGTTGTTGGCAAAAAACCCTCGAAGAACTAATGTAGTATGACGTAGTACATTCTCGTAATAAAGGAAAAAAATAACTTTTTTTATGCATATAGTCATTTATAATTGTAGTATAAGTAATTGTTTATAAGGTTGTATTGTTAGATGTGCTTTTTCTTGTTTAAGTATACATTTTAAGTGTTAATATTTATATTTGAACTGTATATAGGTATATGTAAATATAGTATGTATTGGATTATTATATACTTTTACTACTACTACTTTTATATTATATAAATGAATATTTATATCCATATATATCTATATATCTTTATATATTGTAACGGATTTCTCGATAAATCGTCTACCTTGTAACTCACACTTGAGTTCGATCACTGGATTGTTAAAGGTAGGTAGGTAGGTAGAGTGGCTGTCTTCAGACACACCTAGGCCTTTAGGAAGCCCATTGTGATGCCACCTGGGCTAAGGTCTCTCACTCCATTGGCTCCTCTCTGAACTACCCCGTACTTCTGATGAACTTTATCAGCAAGACCAGTTTTATCCGTGTAACCTCCTAGACTTCGTCGAGAAAACCTCTGCCGATAGCTGCAATTTTTTTCCTATATAGAGCCGTGCAATCGCATAGAAGATGTTTAATGGTCACCTCCTCTTCTATCTCCTGACAGCTTCTACAATAGTCGTAATATGGCGTTCCAAGTCTACTAGCATGTCTGCTTTTTAAACAGTGGCCTGTTAGTACTCCTACTAGAGTTCTTATATCATTCCGTTTGATTTTTAACAGTCGGCATGTGCGGCTCATATTCCATTCATGCCACGTTTGCCTGCTTGTTGAGCAAGTCAGGGACTGATTCCACTGTGACTCAGATATGTTTATGACATGCACGTCGATTAAGTATCCACAAGTATGTATCTGCTATACAGTTCCCGGGGATATTGCTGCGTCCTAGGACCTATTGCAGGTTTATCGTGAAATATGATGTCTGATCCGTTAAGATATCAAGACATTCTTTCACTGTCTTTGACGAAATCCTATGAGACATTAGAGATTTCAAAGCCGCCTGGCTGTTCGTATATATAAATATTTTTCTAGTTGTGATCGCACTTCTTAACAGTACAAGAAGGCTTTCTTTAATTGCTGTGACCTCCGTTTGGGAGACACTACAGTGGTCTGGAGGCCGAAAGGCGATTTTGGTATCTAGTTTAGGTGAGGAGACACCGCCGCCTACTCGGTTATCCAGTTTGGAACCATTCGTATAGAAGCTTTCCCCTGATTCCTTGTCCACCACGCCTCTTCCCCACGCCTCTCTTGCAACATTGGGGACTGGATTTAGATTCAGCTCTGTAAGAATTCGTAGTTGTGAAAAGAAAGAGAACTTCGTAAGTATCATAGAATGCCCCTTATTACTGACGACTACTAGGGAGGATTTCCTCAGTCTCAGAGCTGACTTCGCTGCCATTTAATACTTCTAATCGCGTCCGCTTCTATACTTCTAATCGCGTATTTCTTTTCTGTCATTCTCCACCTTACCAATATACCGTAAGTCATAATCGGCCTTCCTGTGTAGAGCCCCACCATTCTTTTACACGCGTAAAGTGCTGTAGCTGCTTTCTTCACCCTAGCTTTCAAGTTTGGTTTTCAAGAAAGCTTTTTGTCCAAAATTAGTCTCTAGCAGCTTGCCTCATCTTCTATCGGTAGTCTGGAGCCACTTAATAATGGCAACGTGATTTCTGGAGTACTGTGTTTCTTACTGAGCTCTGTCTTGCTAGCATTTAAGTTAGCCCGCATCATACGGCCCACCGACTAATATCCTTTAATATTGTTTGCGTAAGGCTACCGAGGGTATCCGGGAACTTGCCTCTAAGCGAAACTGCCACCTCGTCATCGTAGGCCACAGCATGTACCTCCTACAGGATCCAGAGAAGTGGGGTGTACATCTTCGGACAGATCTGCACATCTTTGAAACTCCCAGTGTTGAAATAATTGACCTGTCCAAGAGCATCTGTTCAATTAATTTCCAAAGAGGCTCAGAGATGCCCAAATCTTTAAGCGCGCTAAGTATGACCCTCGGCTGGATGTTATTGAAAGCACCTGCTATGTCTAACCTGTTGCACTGAGCTTAACGCCGTTTCTATGGATTTACCTTTAGAATACGTAGCTGCGAAACTGCAATTTTTCCTGAGTTTAGTTTGCATTGTTAAATAAAAGTCTGAATTTAATGGCTATACACTTATCTTCATTTCTAATTCCAACAACTTAACACTTATTGCTTGTTATTCGAGCTTACAACTTCTTACTTATGTCTCAATTGCTCTTAATACGACAACACTCTAACTAAAACTATGTTTGCTGCACAATCTGGCTGCCCTTATATATTAGATATTTAACAAAACTTCGCCTCTAGAACATTCTGGCAACTACGATATCGCTGCCTAGTTGCTGCTGGGAGTTTATCGGTGATTCGATTTTGTTCTATCATCCGTGTTCGTCACACTGCTCTCCGTGTTAACTTCCTTATTCGTCCTTCTCTTATTGGAGTTAATTCCATCCGTTTTCGGGATACCTAGTTTTCCTTGACTTAATGCTGAGTTTTGCCCTTTTTCGCTTTTCCATACTCGATGCAAGCACCCATATACCAACTTTAAACTGCTCCTCTCTGCCCAATATGCTTTTGCGACTGGCCTTCCTGTAGTGATTTCTCCACTCGATGTACATTTGTTCCACTCCACTTCATGCGTTACACCTTCCAATTCTAGATCTTCTTGCAAAGAGTCATCCGTTTTAGTTTTAATTTTTTCCTGCTCTTCCACCTGTGCTTGTATACACTTTTCCTGCTCTTCCAACTGCGTTGATAACATCTGAGATATATGTGCATCTTGCGCTGCGAACTGCTTTTCAAACCTCGTGGACAACCGCGTTTCTAACGAGTACAATTGGGATTGTTGTGCCAATATTTGTGACGACACCTCTGCTATTTGTTGGGCCATACGTTAATCCTGCTCTTTGAACAGTGTCTATATTTTCGTTGACATCTGCGATATATGTGCATTCTGCTTTTCCCTTGTGTCGATATTTGCGTTGACATCTGGGATATCAGAGAAGTATAAATATACATATATATCATAAGTTTAAATTGTAATGTTAACAATTAAAATTTATACTTGAACAAGTAATATAAAGCTAATAAAGAATTGCAATCTTATAAATAATTACTTATATAAAAAGTATTAAAAATTTTGAAGTAAAACTCCTTTGCGCTCGTTGGGCTGTAATTCCAGTATTGAACGAAAGCGACAGGAAATGTTAATGTTAATGCAGAGAATGTTAATAAATGGGCCAAAGGCGCAAATGTTAGCTGTATTCAAATGTAAATATAAAAAAAATGCGCAAATTCGAAAATCAAATTACACCACGTCAAAAAGGAACCCACTTCTCTTTATAAGCGAACTCAACTAACTACACTACTCTAAGAAGGTACCAAGCAAATTTTCACCGCTTTATAAAAGAACGGCCAATATATATATGCACAGATGTTTTTTGGCATGCGTATTAAAGAAAATTAGAATAACAAAAAGAAATATAAAATTTTGAAGAACATTTATATAATCAGGAAAAAATTAAAATAAATATAATAAAAAAGGTTTATAAAAATTAAAAAAGAAAAAAAACAACACCTGTGATAGGATTTGAACTCAGGCAATATATTTGATGCAAATTTGCAATAAGGAGCTGTGCTATACAAGCAGCGCCACGAATATTACACATTTAGATTGGTCGAATATGTGAACTCAAACAGCAATCGTCGGGTACTTGTTTCAAACTAAAACTATGTGTATGTAAGTATATATTGCATTCGCATGTCCAAATATATTTGCTTATATGTACACATATGTACATATGTATGTCACTCAATATGCTATTTGTAAAAAATAAAGCATTGACGCAAGCGACAAAAAAAATCGCAGACGTACCATCACCGACCAATAACATCGAGCAAGCTCGCACTATATTCGTTAAATATTTCATATTACAACACCCACAAATTCATTCATAAGTAACGCGCGTATGCTACAAAACGAAGTGCGATCGTTCATAACTCTGCATTGCGCGCTTTTTTCTGTGCGCCTGGTCAACCAAATTTGGTTTTCATAATTAAGATTGAAGATCTTACAATTGATCCTACCATTCCCTTTGCATTTGTATGTTGCCCACAAGCTGCTTCCTCGCGACGAGCTAAAAATCAGAAATTGAAGATATTGTCTGATGTTCTTTTCAGAAAAGAGAATCGGCAACATGGCCTATTAGCGATTTAAAATTTTTATTAACATTTAATTCATATTATGCAATATATATGACATTATATTATACAATTTATATAAAATACACAATTTATACATACATACATACATATGAAATCTTTTATTAGTTTTATATGTTTTAAGCACACTCCATATGGTACATTTACTTATTAATATTATTTCATAATTTTTCGATGTAGCCCATTTTATCTAAATACGACGCTATGAAAATGCAGCCCAATCGGTAGTCGTAGTATTTCCAAAGAGCATAAGTCAATTTTCAATAGCAAAGCACTCCAAAAAGGACAAACGCGGCAGCATAGCCGACCGACATTGTCGCAATATTCAAACAAATTTTGTCAATTCCGCGACGATGCGCAAAATTCGGCGTCAATATGTATGCGAGCTTCTATGTATGTATGTTTGTCGGCAAAGTTGTCATTTGTTTTTTTTCAACGTTTTGTCAAAACTCAATTTTTTGCTCCGCACCGCCTCCGCGAGAACTCGCCGTTACTTCCATGACATGCCAACATGGACAGAGGCGTTTCAACGGAGGATTTATATCATATTATTATATTATTTAATTTGTATAGAAAATTACTGATATCTTAGGGTTTATTTATATAATATTATAATATTTTATTTAGGTAAAAATATAAATACACATAAATTCATACTTATTTAAACGTTTTAATATAAACTGGATTAATAAAAAATATATCTGAAATAATTATGTTTTAGTGTACCCCCTGACCCTCCCTTGCTTGCGATCGTTCATCTTGCTTCGTTCTAGC